ACAAGGATATTTTTGGCCAAGCATGTTGCGAGATGCAGAAGAATTTTCTAGAAGATACGATAAGTACCAAAGATTTGGACCAATGATCCACCAATCACCTGAGGATTTGCACGTAATGGCCTAACCATGGCCTTTCGTGCAATGGGGGATGGATGTGGTTAGCCCTCTTTCGACCGCGAAATCACAAAACAAATACGTTCTGCTTGCAATGTATTATTTTACCAAGTGGGTGGAGGCAGAGCCATATCCCAGTGTGACCCAGACTCAAGTAAGACGTTTCATATGGAGTAATATCATTTCTCGTTTTGGCTTGCCAAGATCAATCGTTATGGACAATGGGACTAATCTCGACAGTAAGCAAGTGAGGGAGTTGCTAGAGGAGTATGAGATCAATCAAAAGTTGGAAGCGGTTAGCCATCCGCAGGAGAACAGTCAAGTTGAAATCACAAACAGAACAATCTTTGCTTGTATTAAGAAGCAGCTTGAAGATGAAAAGGGCAAGTGGTTGGATGAGCTTCCGAACGTCTTGTGAGCTTATAGAACAATCCCAAGGCGACCGATCGGAGAAAGCCCATTCGCTATGGCATATGACACCGAGGCGGTAATACCAGTTGAGCACTTGGTTCCGACTGTTTGGAGTTTGGCATGGAATTAAGAGCAGAATGATAGTATGCTAAGATTTAACCTTGATTTGCTAGAAGAGAAAAGAGATGCGGCAGCAATAAGGCTCGCGTCGTATTAGCAGACTCTTATGAATAGTCACAACAAAAAAGTGAAGCATAGAGACTTTGCACCTGGTGACTTAGTCTTGAAAAAGAAGGTGGGGATTGTTAAAAAGATGATGTCGCCCTAGGAAGGTCCATACAGAGTTGCAGAAACTATAGGAAAGGGGGCATACAATTTAGAAAGCATGGCTGGAAGGTTGGTCAACAAACCATGGAATGCCACATCTTTGAAAAGGTACTACCAGTAAAGATTGAATTATGGTTTGAGCAATATCCCTTTAGAGTTGTGCTCTTACAAATGTATAGACTCTTCAAAGATTTATAAAAAGAATTCATTCGGTTTCGAAAGTTGATTGAGCAACAAGCACTTAGCCAAGTAAGTAGCAAATGGCACTACGAGCCGAACGCCAAAAACTTGCACAAAAATAAAAGTCAAAGTGGCAAGTGGCATTCTAGCCGAGCGCCAAGCATTTAGCCAAGTAAGTGGCAAATAGCATTACGAGTCGAACGCCAAAAACTTGTACAAAAATAAAAGTCAAAGTGGCAAGTGACATTCTAGTCGAGCGCCAAGCACTTAGCCAAGTAAGTGGCAAATGGCACTACGAGCTGAACGCCAAAAACTTGCACAAAAGTAAAAAGTGGCAAGTGGCATTCTAGCCGAGCGCTAAGCACTTAGCCAAGTAAGTGGCAAATGACACTATGAGCCGAACGCCAAAAACTTGCACAAAAATAAAGGTTAAAGTGGCAAGTGGCATTCTAGCTGAGTGCCAAGTACTTAGCCAAGTAAGTGGCAGATGGCACCACGAGCCGAACGCCAAAAACTTGCACAAAATAAAAGAAAACTGGTGAAATGTTATCATGAATGAGCATCAGATGTGTGCTTAAAAACAAAAAGCATAAGATGATATTAAAAGGTGGAACAATAGTCGACCAATAAATCTATTCATTTCATTTAATCATTCATAATAAGTTACAAGGATGAAGGGTCTTGGTGAAATGAATACAAAAAACTGGCACATCCGCAAGGTCCTAGCTAGCCCTATCTGCTCCCTCGGTCTCTTGGTCTCGCTCTGTGTTTTCCCTACCACCATTAGCTATCCCATCTTCTCGGGGAGGAGAGTCAAGCTGGATAATCTCCCCATCCGGCTGAATTCCGCCCTCAGCAACAGTTGCAGGAGGAATCATAGTGGATAGAGGGGGAACGTCCAGAGGTTGATCAGATGAGGGGATAGGAATGACCCCAAAAGAAGCAATTTCCTTGCATTCCTCAAAGATACGTTCGGCGGGATTGGGGGCCGGGTCAGAATAGATGCCAGGTGGATTGATCTTCAAGTCGGCATCAACATCATCTGGGCCGGCATAAGAACTGGTTTGACCTTTAGGAGAACGGTCAATGTAGCCGTCTCTGTATCCCTCCTCGTATCTAAGGGCCCCAATCCAAGAGAAATGAGCATGGAGAGCCCTCATTCCATCATCAACACTACTGATGATGCCTAGTAAGGCAGAACGTTCATCCGAAGCTCTCTTCTCGAGAGCCAATCGCACTGCTCGTTCGTTGTTCAGTGTACGCTGAAGATTTTCTCTTTCAACCCTCAATGCTTCTCGCTTGGTATGCATAATGTTCTTCTCTATTTGAAGAGCGTTTTTCTCATCTTGAAGGGAGTCTGCCTCTTTTTTCAGAACATCCCTCTCCTTCTCAACATTGTTCAGCTGCACTATTAGCTCGGCATTTCTGGTGCTGAAAATCTTATTTTCTTTGTTGGCCGCATTAAGTGCACTGGCAAACTTGTGTGCCTTAGCATTAGATGACTCGACATGTTTTTGCATTGTTATCATGCCGAACGGAGTCTGCAAACATATTTACGAATACTAATTATGCCAAACATATACCCAAAGAAGTCAGAGTATGAAGGTTTCTTTGATCTTCTCAAATGAGGGATGGAAAATTACCTCTATTGGCCATGGGAAAGCGGCTAAACGTTTCCTTCTGGGTCAACGTTTTTTGTGACTCAATGTCTTTAGAGGACCACATATGCTTATAGTAGGCTAGAGCGGTCTGACCATTTTTGAACATGGTATCGTTCAAAGTGACAACCGACCCATCTGCTCGGATGAATTAGGGAGTCCATGGAACTGCTTCAGAAGGAGGAGCGGAAGCTTCACCAGTTCCAAGGGTGGTAGTTGTTCTACCCTGTGAAGCTATGGGGGGCAGCCACCCCAGAGGCTCGGACCCTTCTTAACAAAAGAATGTCATCAGGGTCGGTTTTACTGTCAGGTTGGGGTCTTTTCCCTCGATCTTTATCTGGGACAGATGCAGGGGCGCTTGAAAGGTTGCCAGCCTTCGGAGCATTGTTTGGATTGACAGGTGGAGCATCAACGTTAGGGTTGATGGCAGGTACAACGTTCGGAGTGGTACTGGAGGTGGTGGCGGAAGTAGATACTGAAGCTGGAGAGGAAGCAGAAGCAGGAACAATGACGTTCCTGGGAGGGTTTTTTCTTCTGCTGAAGGAGGGGATCTGGATCTGATCCATGAGTGCACCCAGAAGTGATATGTCGTTAAGATTCTCAGACACAAGGAGTTCCGAACAAGAGGGAACGTTATTCAAAATGTTCTCCTTCAGGTATTTGATCCTATCCCTGCAAATGCTGTAACTCAGTTCATTATGAGAAATACCTAGAGAATCGAGAAGAAAAGTGCAGAAGCGGGGAATGCAAATTTCACAAGGACACACTCTCTTGTGGGTTTTGTATTTTTTGTATGAGGAAACAGAACATTCACTAAAGGCACTCGGGATAGGGTAATTCCTAGCAGCCGGAGCGAACCAAGCCCCTCTGACCCCAACTATGTTTTTCTTCCACCCTTTCTCGGAGTCTAGTTTATCCGTACAGATGGATTGTTTTTCAATGGGAAATAAATGGTAATACATGTCATCCAACTTGATTTTACTGACCCTGTAGCACAGGAGAAGATCTACAATATCGAGATCTAAACCCCTTTCACGGTTCAGAATCAAGAGAACGGATAGAACTCTAAGAAAATTGGGGTTTACCTAAAGAGGGGAAAGTTTCAATCTATTAAAGACGTAACAGAAAAAGGGATGCAAAGGAAATCTGACAACATTCAGATGAAGGAGGGAGAACATGATTTCACCAGGGAGAACATTCAGATGAAGACCTGCACCAGTTCTAATATTCACATTCTTGGGGCACTCCCTAATAAATATACTGCTCGGAAGTTGAAGTTTCATGCGAAGAATGTCTAAGTCAATGGTCACGGTAAGGACGAACGAAACCCTCAAAGAAATGTGAAAAGCTTTTAGAAGATAAAGAAAAGGGACACTTAACTTTAAGAGGACTGAAGATTGCAAAAGATGCTGTGAGAGAGCTGAGAAGGGAGAACCAATTGCAAGAATTCGCCGTGGAGGATTTGATTTTTCCTGAGAGAAATGAGCAATGAATTGATTGACAGGAGATGTGACAGTGATGGTAGAAAAGACTATGAGTAAAGGTTGAGGGGTTTTTAAAGGAAGGGTGGACCCAGTAACCGAGGCGTCAGGAAAATGAAGAGATTTCAAATTTCAAAACATCTACTTCTGAACCGACCATCCACTCCCCCACGTCATCATCTCGAGTCGTCAAGTCATGATTAGGTCCCTTCGATAATCTCTCCCTAATTAATTAGGGTGTGATTATGGGGGCAGATGAGGATACCAAAAACGGCTTGGGCCGGGCACGATCCAAATTGCCAGAAGCGGGTCGGGTGAGAGACATTGATCCGAACCGAACCTTCACTGTCAGGCTCAAGATCATGAAATTAGTTAGAAAGCCCGATTGAATAGAAGAGGGGAATGGGCCCAAAATCAGGATGGGCCCAAAAGGTTAGCCCAGCGTAAAGAGATAGGTAGGAAGCTTCTAGAATGTTGATTGCAGTCTATAAATAGACTGAAAAGAGAGGAAAAAAGGGGGAAAAATTCTTGACGTGTAAAGTTATTCTGTCAAAATACGGAGAGAAATTTCTTGTATCTTGAAACTTGATTGGACTTGTTTTGATAACGAAATTAGCCAATTACAAAATATATTTCTCACAATCTGTTTTATATGTTGAGTATATGAAAAACAAGATTAGTATGACTGTAGAAAAAAAAAAAAAAATCATCACAAGATTTTTAAGGAAGGGAACAAAAGTGATGAAACACATGAAATAATGACTCCTTATTTTTATTGAGCTTTGTTTCTTTATTATTTTCCTATTTACTTTTTGTTTTTTTTTTGAAGGTGCAAACACCAGATGACATTTTAAATGCAAAACGCCTTATTTTCCCTGGGGTTGGGGCATTTGCTGCAGCTATGGATGTGCTAAATCAGAATGGGTAAGCTTTGTACATATGTTTCTATATATTCTAGTAATGGGAAGTGTTTTGGATATAATATTTGTAGGTAGTAGGGTTCTTTGTATAATAAAATAGGTAGTAAATAAGGGGTATGTCACGATACATTGTGAGGATCCAGAGAGTGATTCTCTGGTAGAAGGAGGAGAAGTTGACCAACCAAAGGAGTTTGTCGTGAAGGTAGGAATGTTTGTGCTAGTGACAGAGGGTGAATAGGCTAAGGTGGTTGTGATTCTCAATTGCTCAAGTCCTACCTTCAATGCTCCACCAAGTCCATATTTATTGCCTCAGGACATTTGGTTATGCCTAGTGGTTCAAGGCTCAGTTCGGTATTAACCAATGCCTAAACCTTTAGGTTATTATGGATCCATGCACCTTTGCCACCTAAGGTGTCAAGTCCACCTTACTGCCTCATGTCAGTGTGCCAGCGGCACATTAAATGGATACAACAGGTATTTAATGCAATTCGGCTAATGGACAAGTTGCTCGAGATTTTTGGGACTCGAGGAATGTCCTTCAAGGTTTTCCGGACTCAAGTCTTGTGGTTGAGGTTTTCTGGATTTGAGCTTTATGCTCGAGGTTTTGAGACTCGAGAGTTGCCTCTCGAGGTTTATATTTTGACCTGAGGTTTATGCAGAGTTTTTCTTTGAGTATCAATGCAGACATGGTCACTGTTTTGACTTTTTTTTGCTGATATGGCTTTCGTTTGACTTTTTGTTGATGTGGGTTTTGTTTGACTCCACATACTCAGCGCATGATCATACCCACAATATTTATACAACGTTTATTAAGACTTTTGTTTAACGACGTCATTTTTATTTTCCCTTGTAGATGTTTGTAGATATTAGTTGGGGTTATAAGATTGAGGACACAAAATTTGTATTTACACACAAAAAGTTATGAATAGGAAACACAACATGTCCCAACTGAGATTTGTTCCCTGCACCCTCCCCTTAAAATGGTGGCAGGAGATGCTATTTAGGATGGACAGCTGGTGGCAGGAGATACTATGGAACTGTATGCTTTTATTTAGGCGTCACATGTAGTAAAAATATATTGCTGAAGATTCTATGTAAGCCGGTCTTGTTAGGAACACTAGCACGTTTAGGAGGTTGACGTGTGTCTAGTGCAAAGAAGTGAGATGCAATTCTTGTGAAACTTTATTGTGGCAGTGGTTGGTAAAACTTTCACCTCAGCTTGGAATCACTTACAAGTATCATTACTAGCCTCACACAAACAATTTGGTTAAGTGCTTTATATTATTTTGGAGCACAATTTATTGATCTTGTATGGACATTTTGAGTAGTTTTTTGCGTACTGAATGTCTAAAACCAATTATGTTATTGTATATTTTAAAAATATTTTCACCATTTATTTTTAGTTCATTGAGAAGCTGTTTTCAAGTCACTTTGTGCAAAACTAATGTTGGAGGTTAGGTTTGTCTCTGGCCTTCCCCTCCCAGTATTATGTGTAGGTTGGACTAAAACTCTGTTTGCCCTTTGGATTTTTATGGTTCAGTGTGAAATATAGTCATGTTGTTGATCCATTTTTTCAGGCATACAAAGTTATCAGTTTGTCATTGATTTTCAGGAAACGGCATATTCTATTGTTATTTTACCTTTGTTTTACTAATATGTTTGTTATTTTTTAGACAACTTGTACAAGTTTCATACATGAAAGTTTATACATAATAGTGTTCTACAGGATGGCTGAAGCACTTTGTGCTTACATTCAGAATGATCGCCCATTTTTAGGCATTTGTCTTGGATTGCAACTACTTTTCGAGTCGAGTGAGGAGAATGGACCAGGTATTTTCTGGATACCTGCTTTGATCACTCCTTATAGTTAGTGTTGTTCTTTTCAGATTACATTCATCACATATGGCTGTAGAGTAAGCATAACAAAGGGTGAATACTTCCTGTTCATAAATGCAACAGATGACATAAACACTTCTATATATTATTCTCATAGTATAATTGATCTTCGTTGCATATCTCTAAGAACTTAAATAAAATATAATGACATGTAGAGCACTATTGGCTAGAATAAATGTAGTTCACTATTATTGCAGTGTTTTTTTTGTTGTTATTGTTTTTGCTGCTGTGTTCACAAACTATTGTCATTATCATCATTATGGTTGTCGGCATCATTATCATCATTATGATTAAAAAAAATGAAAGATTTGTATTTGTGAGAGAGAAGTGCAATAGCGAAGGAAGTAAAGAGAGTTTCCAAGGAAGAAGAGAAACTTTGGTAGAGCTGTAACCAGATAAGTATCGAAGGTATGGTTGGTAGAGTTGCCCTTAGAAGTCCTTGTGAGTTGGTGAAATATTGAAAGGGGTGTGCTTTATTGGACAGGCTATGATTTGGCCAAATTATCATATGATAGAAGAGAAAGAACAGTAAAGTGTTTGCATAAGTCAGAGGCAACTGGTGCATGATTTTGTTGGGCAGGCTTTGATTGGCAATAGTATCATATGATAGAAGAGAAAGAACAGTAAACTGTTCGCTTAAGTCAGTGACAAAGAGATGGCAAGGGTTAAATAACAACTGGTGCCTGATTTTGTGCTGTCTTTCAGCCCTCCTGTACTGTGCCCCTCCTTCTACCCCCCTACACCAACCCCCCCTCCCCTCCCTCCTCCTCCTCCTCCTCCTCCTCTTACTTAATTACTGAACCTGAAAATTCCTTTTCTCCAACTATTAGGGACAGCTTCTTTCTTAAAAATGTATGCCTATCCAAGGAGTTAGTTTTGTATGTTCTTTTTGGAATTCTACCTAAGTTGGAAAGAACTTTAATGCCTTTGCATTCTGGCAAGATTTATGTGTCAATGATTTAGACCTTTTAGTCTGTAGGAGGGGCATGTTTAAGTTTATTCACACAGTATATCATCCTTTTCTAAAGCGAGTTGATGAATGGTATACAACAGTGGTCCTTATGAGCTAATTGTTCTACTTGACTTTGTCCCAGTCATTTCCTGTCCTTAATTTCTCATGGGAAAGATTTGCATTGGATAGATTATATTTTTGTATGCTTCAATACTTCTGATAGCATACTTGACTTTGACCCAGTTATTTGGTATCCTTACTTTGGGATACATTTTTTAGATGCACAGTTCTGGAACTACATGTCTGCTTCATCATGTTTAAAAGAATGTAATTATATTTGTTTCCTGTGACCCAATTCAACAAAGCCTTTTCCAATTATTCGGATAGGTGACATGAATACTGTTTCACCATGAATTATATTTGTTTCCCTTATTCAAAGAAAATTGATAGTTGTGCATGTTTCTCAGTGAAAGGTCTTGGCTTGATTCCTGGCTTAGTTGGACGTTTTGACTCGTCTAATGGTTTCAGAGTACCTCATATTGGCTGGAATGCTCTGCAAATAGCAAAAGACTCTGAAATTTTGGATGATATTGGAAATCGTCATGTCTACTTTGTTCACTCATACCGTGCCATACTGGTATGTTTTTTCTTACTTTTGTAGTTGTTGCCATGGCATCCCTCTGCTATATCTTTCCCTGATAAACATTTAAGTTGCTGATTCAACTTTGCCTGTATTTGCTAGATAGTCAGATGATAACAAAGAGTGGGTTTCATCTACTTGCAACTATGGTGACAATTTTATAGCATCTGTCAGAAAGGGAAATGTACATGCAGTTCAGTTTCACCCGGAGAAGAGTGGAGGCAAGATAATTTTTTATTTCAGCTCTCTTTTTATTATTATTTTAAAGTAAATTTCTTTGTGAACTGTTTGGAAAATTTTAGTCAGGTGCAGATGAACCTGAGTGATCTAAAATTATTATTATTGATTCACTCCTCACTGAAAGTCACACTTTATTGAATTGCTTGTACTGGTTTACTCAATTGGCTCGTCTTCTGAAAAAAATGCCTAAACCCTTAAAGATTATATTTTACCAGTAACTTAAAGGTTACCATCCTATATTGGTCCTCCCAATGTGGGGTGAGCCATATAAAATATCAAAGTTCTTTCTCCTCTTGGTTTTAATCTTGTTGGAAGGACCATTATAACATGCTTTCTAGTTTTGTTTTATTTTCTACTTGATCTGATTATCCATGATGCCTCAATTGGTGGATTGTGAAATCTGGTTTGCTTTAGCACTATACTCAATATTGGTATTTGTTGCAGTGAAATCACAGTATATTCATTCCAATACTGATTGACATCTATAACATCAACAACTTTATTTTTTATTATACTTGTATCCTGGAAATGATTGACATCTATAACATCAGCAACTTTATTTTTTATTATACTTATATCCTGGAAATGAATGTTTCAGATGTTGGTCTTTCTATATTGAGAAATTTCTTGTATCCAAAATCTCACTGGACGAAGGTAGTCTTTGAACTTCTTGATTGCATAAATTTCTTTTGCTACTTAATTTCTTCACTAAACCATCTAATAAACTAAAGCTTCATGTGAAGACAGAAGCCAGTTGAAGGGAAGGCTGTAAAACTTGCAAAGAGGGTGAGTGTTTAAAGTTAAAGAGTTATTAATTATCTTAATTTTTTCTATATTTATTTATTTATTTATTGAATGCTTAATTTATTATATTCTGCAGTATAGGCGCTGAACCATATTGCAGCTTCATTAATTTTTCTGTTCTAATGCAATTGACTCCTGACTTATAGAAGCTCTATGTTGAATGATTTTACTTCAAGTCAGGTAATTGCTTGTCTGGATGTAAGGGCAAATGATAAAGGCGACCTTGTTGTAACCAAAGGAGATCAATATGATGTCAGGGAGCATACAGAAGAGAACGAGGTGTGCCATATATAGTAATTGTTGATCAAAGCATTACATTTTTGTATGCTTCTTACCTTCATGGTTTTATAATTTGTGATGCATAGACAGGGTTGGATGTTGTGAGAATCAGTGTCACTTGCCAATTTGCATCAATGCATTCAAAGGGAAGAAAAAAAAAAAAAAACTGAATAATGATGAATGTAATAACTTCGCAAAGCTCCTTCCTTAACACCACCCCCCCCCCCCCCCCCCCCCCAGGCTCAAAAATGGGAGCACAAAACAAAAAAAAAAAAAAAAAAAAAAAAAAAGGAAAAGGGAAAAACCAATTAAAAAATAAAAATTCCACACAAACTCAGGAAAAAATTAAAAAGAAGAAGAATAACGTGACACATGCAAGAGCAAAAGGGAAAAGGAACTATGAAAAAAAAGGTAGTATGTGAACATTCTTTTTGCACCTCTTAGAAACTAATAAATGTAGACATGTAGTTTAAAATGTTCTACACTCAAATTGGTGGTAAGAGGTGACCGACATTTTGTGGTGTTTGAATTTGCTTCTCAAATGATTTAGTTATAATTTGCTCCTCAAATGATGGTACACATGTATGGGACTTGTACAAAGCTCTAGTTAGTGCAAGGTTCTTTAGGTCTTGTGCGTCCAGCCAGCTACATTGGCAGTCCACGGGGCTATTGCACCGTTGCACAGCTTTTTATTTTTCTTATTGTGGATGGTTATTCTGATTTTCTTTTTAATTCTTCGACCGGGACTATTTAGCGGTCTCCTTATACTCAGCTATAATTTGGAAGCTTTGTCCTCTTCCTCACCCCTTACCTCAGTTAGTGCACATTCTTTAATTATCTTAAGGTTGGAGTTTGGGCATCAAATCTGCTGTATAGTCTAATTGAACAATTCATCTCAGTCACCACATCTGTCTTCGAGATAATTCTCATCTTTGACTGCATCTTAAGATTCTGACTATTATTTTGGTGAGATTTTTTTTAATGATAAATTGGAAACCATGCCTTGTTGATGGCGATGTATAATCTGTGGACTAGAATAGGAACATTAAAATGGTTGTTTCTGATTAATTATCATGATTTTTGTAATATAGACTCTTTAAAGTTTGATGTTTTTGATTTAGTATGGCCTTCCTTCCTAACTCTCATTGCTTTTCTATTTGAATGATTAATTTCATGATTTTTTTCTGAAGGTGAGAAACCTTGGCATTCCAGTGGATCTTGCTGGACAGTACTACACAGATGGGGCTGATGAGGTGTGCATTATTTTTGGATAGATTTGATTTCTCTGTCTTACTCTCAGGACCCTGGATTTATGGGGACCATACGGGTAATGACCCTTTTTATATCTTACTATAGACCAATGATATTTATAGGTTTAAGCCTTGATGTTGCATGTTAGGTTTGTTTCTTGAATATTACTGGTTTCCGAGACTTCCCTCTAGGTGATTTGCCAATGTTGCAGGTTAATTTCCAACATTAATCTTCACATACTTCACAATACGTTATTAAATTTTTTTGTTTTTGCATCATATTTCGTTTTCAGTTTATTTGGTTTTATTTTTCCTGTACTTGTTTTGCTTGTAGGTATTACGTTATGCATCAGAAAATGTTTTTGTACCATTGACAGTTGGTGGTGGTATCAGAGATTTTACAGATGGAAATGGCAGGTATACACATACTTGACTGTAGTTTTGTGAACTATTACTTGTTTATTAATTTCAGTTTTTCTTAAAAGTGGTTGTCTTATGAAATACTTGAGTTCCTACGTTTCAGAAAAATGTTTTGGCATTTTCACATTGAGGGTATTTTTCAAATGACTATGTCTAACACATTCTTTCCTCAGGTACTATTCTAGTTTGGAAGTGGCTTCAGAATATTTCCGATCTGGTGCAGATAAGGTTTCAATTGGGAGTGATGCGGTTTATGCTGCAGAAGAATATTTAAGAACTGGAGTATGCAACACAACTCATAAGATGTTCTCATGACAGATCTAGTCATTTGTTTATTTTTATAATTCTGTCTAATGTTTCTTGAACTTCCTTCTGAAGGTAAAGACTGGAAAGAGCAGCTTAGAACAAATTTCCCGCGTATATGGAAATCAGGTGATTTCCTCTGCAATTATGGATCCTTCCTTGCACCTATCCCACTGTTTTAAGTGTTTTTTGAAGTTTTTGCACATCCATCAGATGTAACAAAAGAATCCTAAGCGTGTGACTTATGTGGCTTTTTAACTGATCACTGAAATATTTTATAAAATGACGCATAAATTTATTTATTTATTTTTATTTTTTTTAAAATTTTTTTGTGTGTGTTTTAAAAGTGTAGACTGATATGAGAATAGCCAACTCAGATTGTGGGCATTGAGAGTTGAGACGAGAGAATGCTGATAGATTGAAACAGATTATTATACTATACCAGGATATCTTTCGAAGGCCTCTATAGACCTTGATAGTCTCTTTCAGCTAATTATGTTGAACTTAACAGAAAAGATTGTGGGGATTGAGGACAAGAGAATACTAAATCATCAAGCTTTAGAAGCCCTGTTCACTACAAATTCAGATTGTGGGGATTGAGGACAAGAGAATACTCTGATAGATTGAAACAGATTATAATACTATAGCAGGACATCTTTCAAAATCCTCTATAGACCTTGATAGTCTCTTTCAGCTAATTATTTAACTTAACAGAAAAGAAGCGAAGATTGTCATTAACAAGTCAATTCAATGGGTTGAAACAAAAGAGCATTGACTATTGAATCAAATTGCAACACTTCACTTACCTAAATAATTGTAGTATTACATCAGGCTAGCTGTAGAAGCCCTGTCCACAACAAATTCACCAAAAGTATCCTACTTAATTTTTCCATTTAATTTTGCCCCAGTCATAGCAGAACAATGGTTGGTATCACATTTACAAACGAGATGTCAGGAGGTTTGTTCAATTCTTACCTTTGATTAAAAAGGACCTATATTTATTTTATTTTATTAATTCCAAAATTAAACAATGGAAAGGGTTCATAGAGATATACTATGGTGGGCTTTAGATAGGAAAGAAACATTGTTAAATAGAAGCAAGGAATGATATGTTAATTAAAAAAACCTAAAAACTACAGGGAACTGATCAAGTGAACTTCCTTAGACGCCAATATTAGAGCTGTCATTTTGTTTTTTTTTTTTTTTGTTTTTTAATTTATTTATTTTATTATTATTTTAAAATTCTAGAATTCTTATACAAACCACTTACTGCCCCCTATAATTGGTTACCCATCTTGTGCTCAAATGATAATATTTCTGATGGCTGTTGAGATCTTCCTCTCAAATGATAATATTTCTGATGATAATATGGTTCATTGCTTTTATTTATTTATTTTTTATTATTATTTTTTTATATTATTATTTTTTAATATGATTCATCATTAAAATTCTAGAATTCTTATACAAACCACTCACTGCCCCCTATAAATGGCTATCCATCTTGTGCTCAAATGATAATATTTCTGATGGCTGTTGAGATCTTCCTCCCGAGTGTCAAAATGTTGGCAGAAGAGTCAAGCTCTTGGTTCAATAGCTTCGTAATTTCAGGCCCTGAAAAAGTTAAGAATCAGACAGCTTCTTTGGGTAGCAATGAACATGACCCCTTTACATTATTTTACTAGTGTAAGCTGACTACGGATTTAAAGTAATTGTAACTTAATTCCTCCTCTGTATGATTCTTATGTTTAACTACTCCATCAGTTAACCCTTCATTGGTATTATGCTAGACAGACTAGATAACTCTTTTTTTTTTTTGGCTTTCTATTTCAGTTTACTAAAACATTCTATTGTTCATCTTCTAGAATTCAAGGCAGTATGATGTTGGTAAATAATTTGAGTATCTCTGTGCTGGCATCTCAAGCATCTCATGGTTAAACTTGGTTTCCACTTGGGAATTTCGCATGTGTGGTGACGATACCTATAATTTATTCAATTCCGTTAAGCTGCTTCTGCTTACTCGACCTTCTGTTGTGCTTCTCTGCTTTCATATAAAATATCACATATATATATATATATATATTTTTTTTGGTTCACACAATTGGGAAGAAGTGATGAAAGAAGGAAGTTGTTTTTTGCTGTTTATGTACAATTGTATCTGTGATGCCAGGATATATAGGATTATACACACCCTAAGTCGCAGAAGGCCAGCTTCTGCCTTTGCTTTTCTAACTATATTGAGGTGATGCGGGTACTGTTGTCTAACTTTTATCTCTTATCCATTGTATAACTTTGAGATATTCATAAACCAAACCTACTCAGCTGTCATCTTTGTGTTTAATTCATTAAGCAAGAGATGTACTAGCCTCCAAGTTGATTTTCTTTTTTCACTCTTTTCTATCATAAGCAATTTCTCCTATTAGATTTAATTTTTTAAAATGATTTTTTTTTATTTCATTCCATTTTTGTTTTGGTCGACCTCTTTGTCTCTTAACATTCTACACAATCCAATCTTCAGTTTCCCCCTGACACACATACTGGACTGCGTTGAATATATCCAAACCACTTAAGTTTAATTTCTCTTATTTTCTCACTAATAGGTGTCACTCTTGATTTCTCCCTTATATGTTGAGTATTAACCTTATCTCTTTTAGTTACTCCTAACATCCATCTCAGTATATATGCGTTTGTATATTGAGAGTTGTTAAGTTTTATTCTATCGCAATGCTTTGTGTGGGTACATAACCCGACTCGGACATGGCATTTGTAGAACTTGATGATCAGGCATGGATCACTAATGTGGCAACCAACATCCACGTTGCATCCCAATAGAAAGATGAGGTGAAGGTATTGTGAAAGAGGGGCCCTTAATATCCCCCGACTATAACTTAAAACTTATGTGTGGACTAATCTTATAGAAGCAAGGATCATCACTCATGAGTAAACTTGAGATACCATTAAATGACAGAAATCCAATAATTAGGACGTCTCCAGCTTTCTGAAGGCACTCATGTTTGTTTGTTCATACAAATGTGGCAAGGACTTCTTCTCCTTCGATAAGCCTTGCTAAATGATCTTAGTGATGAAGTCATCTCCTCGTATAAACCTCGCTTGAAGACCATTGTGAGAAACTCTTCTTTTTGAAGACCTCAATGAGGACCTTTGCTCGGATAAGTCTTGCTGGAGAGTTTAGAAGGGCATCACTTGATACACCACCTAGGTTAGACTGGGATGTAGTGGGATTACATTGACCTGGTGTACCAACAACCTGTGTAATCCTTTGACTGTGGTGAGATGGTTGCTTTGATGGGATCCTGTTAGTGATCCCATCTAGTTTTCCCTATGTTCTTCAACCTGACTCGAGAGGAGAGAGAAACCGTTGACTTCTTGAGGTAGCATTTGTTCATACTTCCCCTGCATTGTCATCTTGTGATAAATGGCCGTCACACCTCTCTAATTGGCTATCTGACTGCCATCTCTCTCTCTCTCTCTCTCTCTCTCTCTCTCTCTATATATATATATATATATATATATATCTATATATCTAGTTGGCATGAGTTTCAACATAGCCCAGTCCACTTGGGACTGGGTAGTACCTCTGACTTCATCAGCATATCAAGCCAACACTTCGTATTTCTTCTGATCTGAATTCTGGTATTTCTGACCCTGTTTCTTTCAATTTGGGTTGTTAATATTTTCAGTTCTCTTAAGTGGCTTGTATAAAAAGGGCAAACCTAGTGCACGAGGCTCCTGCCATTGCGGGGTCTGGGGAGGGTTAGATGTACGTAGCCTTACCTCTGCAGTCTAACTGTGTGCTTATAGAACTGCCTGCGTAATTTCCAACCATGAACTGAACTATGTCACAACACACAAACACACACATTAATGGATTCGCGTACTCAGAAAGAGTAGAACCCCTTGTCCTACCTTCCCTTTCAGTTACTATCCCTAACACCGCTTTTTAATGCATATATTAGAGTCTGCAGTTTAGAGAAATTTTTGAATCTGTAGTAAGTAGTTTTATTATTCATGTATTGCAGGCAGTGGTTGTAAGCATTGATCCTCGTAGGGTGTACTTGAAAAACCCTGATGATGTAGAGTTCAAGACAGTGAGAAACTCAGGTAAAAGGACTATTCTTTATGTTGTAAACTATTTTGTTGCTTTGGAACCTTTTACTTTATGCTGTTAATTCTAGTCGTTAAAAATGCATATTTCAATTTCTGTTGTTGAGCACTTGGAGATTTCTGATTGTGACCTGGTGACGAGACGTACTGGTTGCAACTTCCTAATTACTTATCAAGTTCCAAATTGGCGTCCTTGGTAAGTTGCATATGATTTGAAAGTTGAGAGAACAAAATCAAGATTGAGAAACCAGTTTGATTGATCAAGAAATATTCAAAGAGACGTTTTGCAAATAGAAAGAGTTTTGATTTAAAAGGTCAGCTTTGCACCTATTCTGAGCATTGATAATGGCAGGACTGTCATTGGGGAATGACATTTTTTGATGGAATTTCCAAATCTTAATCTTCCTTTAAGGTTTAGTGGAGGTGTAGAGATGACTGTTTGAAACAAGTTATTTTTAACTGTATTTTCAATATTGGTTTCAGGTCCTAATGGAGAGGAATATGCATGGTATCAGTGCACGGTAAGCCTTGTTTCACTAAATCTGTTGTTATTTATGAGATATTTAATTTTCTTGATTTAAGTCTATTCTCTTGTCAGCATTCTCCTGTAATTTTCCTTCGAATTTCCTACTCCCCCATAAATGGTTACCCTGTCCTTCTAGAACAGGTTTAACAAATATAAAAATTGGGTAGAAAATAGAGAATGGATTTCCCAGATGTTTAGAAGGTACAGTTTGACTTGCTCCTGCAATAGTGACATAAAATGCAGTTGGAGTGCTGCTGTGGAATTCCACATTGTTGAAGCAGTGTAACTTAACAAGTTCCATTGGTTCTCACATACAAGGCACTTGGAATAGTGTTAAGGTTAATACCAGTAGGTGTACACACTTTACGAAAGGGAAGTGTTAACCTGTGGGGAAGGGAACATGACTATAGTGCAGTTGTCATGGGGTAGAAATATGTGGTTGAAAACAGAATGCAGCTGTTACTAGGTGAAAATGGATAAAAGTGGCTTCCCAGAGTGGGTTGTTATGTTGGACATCCAGAGTGCATTTAAGTGGTGTGTATAGTGGAAATACTTGTGTCAATTATTTGGTCTGAGATTTTGGTGCATTGGTTTCCATTACAATAGGCTAAAAAAACAATGGAAAAAGAAGAGCTTCAATTCCAAGCATAAAACACTCCCTTTACCATCCACGGAAGTAGATTGAAGGGATCCATGCATTATTGTGACCTAGTAATTCTTAGAAATTGTAGTTCTGCCAGAACTATTTGAAACTTCTGCTCGGGCGCTCTTTATATTCTATTGCTCAATGAGACCAGAGATCTTGGTGAGCTGTGAGCTGGGTTTTACCTTTTATCTTTTTAATTTTTTATTTTGGGGTGGTTGGGGGACCTGATATAACCTTTCTTTACTGTTCTGAAGGTGAATGGTGGGCGCGAGGGTCGACCAATTGGAGCTTATGAGCTCGCTAAAGCTGTTGAAGAGTTGGGTGCTGGAGAAATACTGCTAAACTGCATTGATTGTAATGGTGAATACAACTTCCATTTTTTCTTTTGTTAGTTCTGGTTGCTTCATTCTATATATACATGAAGGTAACGTATGCTAATCTGAAGTGACCAGCGTTGTCACTTACAAAAATTAATAATTGGTGCCTGTGAGAAGTTGGTTTCTTTTTGACATCGAACAAGACAGACACCATTCTCACTCATAGCATCTTGGGGATGCTTATACCTCGCCTCTTTCTTCTATTTTATATTTTTACAATCACAAACTTAATGGTGCTTTCTTATTTCTGGTAAACATCCAAATACCATGAGCCATGATCTATTCATCTGCCAAGGGGCATTGTTGTCAATTATTTCCATTAAGGAATAGTGCCATGTTTATTCTATTTTTTTTTAAATTTTTTTCCTTGGGTCCAATTTGATCCCTTTTCAGGTCAAGGGAAAGGATTCGATATAGATCTGATCAAGTTGATCGCAGATGCTGTGACCATCCCTGTAATTGCAAGTAGTGGCGCAGGAGCAGTTGAACACTTCTCAGAGGTATTCAAGAAAACATGTGCATCTGCTGCTCTTGCTGCTGGCATTTTCCATCGGAATGAGGTATTTTCAGAAATTATCAAAATAACCGCGAAATTCTATATTGATAATGTACTTAAGCTTCAATATGACGGACATGATGAGCAGCATCAGTTGCTTCATCTGGCACTTCATTCCATAGTGGGCTAGCTTTAATCAATTCACTATAATACCGCCCCTTCTTTTAATCTGAACTTCTATGTTTTTTCTCTTCTTGCACTGATGCTTTTACTTCATCGTTGTGCATAATCAATCATCAAAATACATCTCTGTTGTTTTTTGAATTTTAAGTGCAGTAACGAATCCAGTTCGGGTTATTTTCATTTCGTCATCATTGCCGTCTTTGTCTTATCCCATTCAAATGGGATTGCCCTCTTGAATTCTCTTCTTCCACCCTATGGAAATAACTAAGTTCTTTGAATGTGAGAAAAAGACAATTTTGGAGTCTTTATTTTGTTTGAGAAAACTATTTTGACGATATTTTGATAAGTTTCATGGCTCTATAAATTACATGTTATATTTTGTTTTTGATTCTGATTTTGTGGTTGCAGGTTCCCATTCGGTCTGTGAAAGAGCATTTGTTAAAGGAAGGCATAGAAGTTAGACTGTAACTGGTTGCTGCTGCAAACCCGAGCTGTTAAGACTAGTCATTTTACTGCAGAATAATTTCTTTTTAAAACAATGTTGAGATTGTCCTGGTATCCTGTTGACTGTGTGTGCGTTCTTTGCAGCTCTGTTACTAATTTTGAAATGCTTTCATGTTTAACCTAAGTCTCGTTCTCAGCAACGAGCCTAATCTCGTTCTCAACGGGTTCAGTCAAACTAAGAAATAATATGTTTGTGGTTTGAGCAAGTCTGTTTTATTATTATTATTATTATTATTATTATTTTTATTTAGGGTTAATTACAATGACACCTCATGAGATTTGTCATAATGACAATCATATACAAGTTGGGGTTTTTTTGAACAATGACTCTCTCGTCAGAAATTGGATCCAAACAAGCCCTTAAAAGGTGTGAAAAACTAAGATTGTCCTTTAATATTTTATTAATTTAAATTAAAAAATAATCAAAACTCTTAAATGACGTTTTTGCCTTTGGTATGTCATCAGTTTATGTCATCACTCTCTCTAACTTGTCACCTTTTCCATCAGAAACCCTAGTCACCACCAGGTTCGGCCACCACACTAACACAACAGAAAAATAGAGCAATTAGCAGCCACACCTCTTAAAACCTAACCCTAACAAACCCACCACCACATTAGAAAAAAATGATTGAGATTGCAGGTTTTGTACACCTAAATACAAGATCTCCTATGGTCTTTTACCATCTTCTGTCACAAACGTGGATTGTCTTTCGAAGGAAAAACAACTAATAATGGAACTTGAAAATGACTTATATTTGGCAAGTTGGTAAACCTGTAGCTATAACTGTTGAACAGTGTCTGGGAATTGGGGGTTTGACTTTGTGCTTGGAATTTTAGAGGTGTTGTTTGTCACATTCCCTTAAGAGATAGTACAAACCCAACCCACACTCCCTCCAGCAAATCCCTAGGCCTCTCCACCCCTAAATCCCACACCACCGTTGCTGCCGCCGCCGCCACCACAAAAAAATTCGTCGTCGTTGAACCCTTGGATCCCCCCATTGCCACTACTAAAAAACCCATTGTCGTTTAACCCTTGAATCTAGCCGCCACCACCACTAAAAATTCATGTCGTTGAACTTTCGGACCAGGTGGGGAATTTGGATGCATCAAATTGGGTGTCGTCGTTGCCGAAGAGGGCGACGCGGCCCATCCCTGCGATGACTAAATTCTTCTTAATTTGGATCATTCTTGTGCTTAAGGTGAAGGTTGTGGTGGTGTCGACGCCACCTTTGCCGCGGCCACCGTTGAAGTCCGGTGTTTAAAACTGATGGTGTGTGTGTCCCTGCGATGACTAGATTCTTCTTAATTTGGATCATTCTCGTGCTTAGAGTGAAGGTTGTGGTGGTGTCGACGCCATCTCTGCCGTGGCCACCGTTGAAGTCTGGTGTTTGAAACTGTGTGTGTGTTCACAGAGATTGGTTTAGATGATAGAGGTGGTGGTAATGGACGGTATTGAGGAGAAGGGAAATATTTGGGTTCGGTTTTTATTTTATTTTATTTTTTTATACAAGGTTAGATGGGTAATTTTATTATTTAAATTGATTAATTGATAATTCAAAAGGGCAACAATGTAAATTACAGAGGTAGCAGGTGATTGTTGGGGTGCCTTTGTTAATTTTATTAAATTTGAGGGGGTTTCATTGTTCAAAAAAAGCCCAACTTATATATGGCTGTCATTATGACAAACCTGAGGAGTGTCATTGTAATTAACCCTTATTTTTATTATATCTTGATAAGAAACTCACACTAACATTGTCCCCCTGAGCACTTGAACCCTCCACAGGAAGTACTACATGACTATTGTCCCTTGGTGGGTGATTTGTGAAGGAGTTGGCTTAACGTAAAACTATAAATGTGTCGGCCACTTGAATGTTCCATAGGAAGTACTAACATTGTCCCTGAGATGTTTGTTCTAGCCATTCCTAATAAGAGAAAGGGCAGTCGTAAATTTCAAGTAGTTTATTAATCCAGTTTAACACCCAACCCATCCCATATATGTACGTAGGGTTGCAAACGAGTCGAGTTGTTCATGAATTATTCGCTCTCGGTTTGCTAAAAGCTTGGCTCATGAATAAACAAATAGAGCCCGAACAAGATTTGGATGTTTGATTAATAAACAAACCAAACCCAAACACTCTTCCACTTGGCTTGCTAGTTCACAAACACATTCATGAACGTGCTTGTTATTGGGCTCGTAAATACTCACGCACATATTCAATAGTTTAGGTCCATTATTTTTTCAAGTTTAACTAAGAAGTAGTGCCCATTTATATCCAACCCAACCCAACCAAACCATATTCAATATGCTTATAATATCAACCCAACAAAAACTCGAAGCCCATGTTTCCAGCCCATTCATATAAACACTACACAACTCATACCCCATTTTTTCCCCTGCGGCATCCTTTGAAGAAAGCAACGACAATTCTGAAACACCACCACCAGTGACTCTGCAACACCATAACCGGCAATGGTACTACCATGGATGAAAATATATGGGTTTTTTTTTTTTTTTGCTTTTTCCATTGTCTTTTTCTCTTGATTGTATCTCTCTTAAATCTCACACCTCCATTGTTTCTCATATTCGATGGAAGAATCAAAGTGAAGGTTGAACATTAAGCTGAAGATTGGAAGTGACACACATATATACAATATAAACTTGCAAGGTTCGGCTCAATCTGATGTGGGATAATGCCCTTGTAACATTGTTACCCACCCAAACCCGTAACGCTCTTGTTGCGGTCGCGCCACCCTTTATACCTAGTATGTTCATTCGGATGCCTTCGGGCAGGATGTTCGGCGTGATACAAGATTAAGAATTGAGTTTCTCTTTGATACCAATTGTAATGGGCCGAGTGTTTCGTTGACCTAAAAATTTAAGTTATTAAGTGGTGCTAACACCAAATCCATATTGTAGGTGCAAAATTTCTCTCTATTAAAAGAAGTAAAAAGAAAAATACAATTCACTCAAAACAATAATAATAAGCAATAAGAATATTCAGAGAGACGCGTATATTGCTCGATGGATTTTATTGGAGGTCTAGGCCTCTCTTTATATACAAAAAGGTGGTGGAATTATGGTAGGACTCGCCTTGTTTGTCCTCCAATTCATTCCATAAACAACATTATTTACAAATAGAGTTCTTTCCTTTCTATAATTCTTTCCATGCCAAACTTTCCTTGCATAGAATTTTCCTTCTTTGTTGAATCCTTTGTCTAATAGGACTGGTCCTGTTCTTTAAATAAATTTGGGCTGAATGTAGCTTGGTCCAAATGATTCTGCTAATGGGTCGTGTAATGATCCGGTCATTTTCCTTCCTTTCCTTTTTTTTTTTTTTTTTTTTTTTTTCTCAGATTTTCACGGATATTTTTTTTTTCCATTGATCCTTTCTTTTCTGAGTTCAGTTTCTTGTCACTTAGTGTCGTCTCGAGTGCTCTGGAATGATTTCCGAGACTCTTTTCTTTGGATTGACAACTTTCTTTGAGGACCACGTCATTTCCACATTTTCATTTTTCGGACACTATTCACTTTTCGTCATTTTCCCTATTTCGTCTTTTCCCCGTTTGTCACTTTGTTGGCATAACCACACTTCTTGTGTTCGGAGTTGGTTTTTGACTTCACGTATCTTTATTCTAAGTGGTTTTCACGAAATACGTATCTTTACTTTTGCAGAAAAGTACTCTGGTTGCTCCCGGTGTCCGTAGGGGCATGAATGCAAAGTTCTTTGAAAACTTATTCTTTTCTTGGGGTGTTTTTCATAAAAATTTTGAAGATATTTTATTTCAGGGCTTTCTAAGAAAATATTTTTGGAAGATATTTTCATTTTGAGCTAGTTGTGCAGTTTCACTTTTTGGAGGGGCCATTGTGCAATTAATGAAAGTTATTGCTAAATGTCTCGTTTTGAGCCTGGATTCTCGTACGGGATTCATTTTCAATTTTCATCTAGTCGTGTACTCTTAGAATTTCCTTCTGATTGTTTTTCTCCAGTTTTAAGGTTTTTAGCCCCGGTTGCCGCTGAACTTGTTCGGGGCATATCTCTCTGTTCGGGATTCAGTTTTCGACGCCGTTTCTTCCGTTGTTCATATTTTCTCATTTTAGTTCTTTTTTGTTCATGCAGTTTTTCCGTTTGAGTGCGTCTGCTCAAATTTCACTTTTTCGGACCTGGCGGGGCCCGTTCGGGGCACTTTTTGAGATTTTCTATAAATAGGGGGCCTTAGAAAAAAAAATCAGATTTTTCTCTCTCTCTCTCCTCTCTCTTGGCCGGATCTCATGGCAGCCATAGCTTCCATCTTCTCTCTCTTCTTTTTTTGAGCTTCTTCCCTTCAATGAAAAGTCATTGTGCCTTAGTGTTTTATGTTCGTCTTGGCGAGGCCTTTGATTCCACCGATTGGAATCTCGTTTTGGCCATTTCTTGACTTCGGGTTTGAAGTCAAGTTGTGATTTTCATGGGGCTTCCTTGGGATTCTCGTTCACCGTGTTGTCCTTGACAAAACCTAGAAGTTTCGTCAGATTCGAAGCCGTTTCATTTCGGTGGGGGATTTAAGATTTCATCTCAAATGGAGGTAGGGGATGTTTTAGGACTATCTATGTGTTGTATTGAGTGTTTCCCATGGTTATACAACTTATATGGTTGCCTTGTATTAAATCTAGAAAGTTAGTAATGATTATTTCTTTGTATAAAATTTAATTCAAATGATGATGTATAACTTAGATTTAAATTGTGGCATGCTAGAAAGTTTAGTTTTAATATGTTTGTTAACATATATTAAATTAGGATTTATTGAATAAGAATTGCACTTTTTATTTAATATTTTTCTTTGTGAAAGATTAATTCCCATGGCCGTACCTTGCATGAAATTAAGTTGTGACGTGCTTTTAAATTAAGTCTTGACATGTTTGTTAACATACTTTAATTTGAGAGCATTTGGACAAGTATGAAAATCTAGAGATTTTAAATTAAATGACTAATTAAAATCTATTTAATGGTTCCCTTAGCCTAATTAAGTTTTTAATTTGATAATCATGATGACTAGGACTTGTATACTAGTATATATTAAATAGGGACCATTTGAAGTTGCTTTGAAATTTAGAAGTTTAATTATCACGATATAATTAAATTCTACCTTGTTGTACCATTGGCCTACTTGAGATTTTAATGAATGTGTGTGGATATCATGCTATGTTGTTTAACATGTATGAATTGCG